ATTTATTTTATATTTTACTTAATATTTTATGTAATTGTTACTCTATTTTAAATAAAATTTAATTAATATAATTTTGTAATTATTATTTTATGTTAAAAAATTATTTTTTATATGTTTTTTGCAAAAACAAATTAACTAATTTTTAGGTAGGTACAAGTATATTTATTGCTCGATAGGAGCGGGAATAAAACGTAAATTTCATACCCGTCGATTATGAGGATAGAGATGAGAACAAGGACAAAGACGATAATATTGAAACTTGTTTTATCCTATTTCCATGCCTACTAGGATCATCATTACTAATAATTATAAATTTAAGAAATTATGAATTTTTTTAAGTTATTTTATACTAATTGAGAAAATTTATTTATATCTAAAATAATTTTTTTTTAAAACCATCCTTCTTTAAAATTTGATATCAAGAATAAAAAGAGACATTGAAAATGTAGTTTCAATTAAATGAAAAGGTATTTTGAAAATGACAACATTTAATAGAGTGAAATTAGTTGAGATTTGTTTATATTTAAAACCAACAAATATGAAGTATTTTTTGTTCATATTCATAATCAAAAAGAGTATTTGTATGTTATGCAAAAATTAAATATTTTTACTATATTATATAAGTAAAGGTAACAATTATATTTTATCAAAGTAAAAAATTTCTTTTTAATTAAGGAAGGTTAGATTCTCACATCTCTCATGAAAAAATTATTTAAAAAATAATTTCTAAAATAATATTTTTGAGGAACATTAAATTTAAATAATAAATCAAACATATGAGTAAAAAAAAAAGTAAAACATAAAATTCACATTTGCAATCTTTCTATGTACCAAACACCTCTTTGTGTAAACAAACATCATAGTACATGGAGAAGTGAACATTTTTACACTAATATTTAAAATTAATAAAAATATTGAGTTAAATACCATTTAGGTCTTTGAAAGTGTAACTCATTAACACTTTGGTCTCCTAAAAACATTAAAATACATTAAAATTTTTAAAATATAAAGTCCTCAAAGTGTCAAGCGTTACTCATGTTATTCAAATCGTTAGTTTATCATTGTTAAAGTTAACACATAGGTCTGCATGACATGTTATTTGTGAACATGACAATTGACGATGTACACTATAACAACACAAGTCATTACATTGATATAACTCACACCATCCATCATATAATGCCTCACAAGCAAAACTTACATATATATGACCTAATATATATGTCATAACCGTCACCTCGTTCTCCAAAACGTGCAGGTGGCATGTTGATGAGCACTGACGGTTTTGCAATGATGGTCGTACCCATCATAATGGGCTTCATTTAGTGCCTATCATTTTTGTCGTTTATGTGCCATGTGCCACGTCCGTTTCAAATTTTGAGACTCCTTTTCTCTCTCCCTTTCGCGCGTCCTTCCATATTCATTTTACCTTTTCTTCTTTGACGCTTGGCATGATCTCGATGCTTTCCCTTTCTCTGCCCATTCTTCGTCTTCTATCCTTCTTGTCTCCGTCGTCGCTGTTGCCGGAAATCGGGTCTCCGACGGTAATCAGGTCCCCGTTTTTCATCACTGTTCTGTCATTACCAAAGGAGTACCAGGTACTTCGTTCTCTCTGTCCTCTCTTCTCGTTCTTCCTCTCTGTTGGTCTTCCTCCCCTTCTTCTTCGTCTTTTCCATTTTTCGGGCCTTTATGTTTTTTATGGCTGGTGATAGCGGCGCCGCCCTCTCTACTCTGGCCAAGGGTAAGGGCAAGGGGTGCGACAAGGCGGTGGCCGTCGAGACGGCCGCTGCTGAAAAGAAAAAGGGTGGGAACCAACCCAGGGAACCCTTCCCCGTCATCTCTGGCTACGAGTGGGTTAGGGGTGACGTTGGAGAGTTCCAGAGCGTCTTTAAGTCGTTCTTGGAGATCAATGCGATGTGGAAATCGCACAGGATCTGCCAATCATCCATCTCTAAGCTCATCCGGCTTGAACCTTGTTAGCCCGGCGAAAGTGTATATATGGGGGGGTACTTCTAATCCTCCTTTTTTCTACATGTACCAGTGTTTCTTTAGAGATTTAGGCATATGCCTTCCCTTTACCCAATTTGAGTGCAATTTTTTGAATTTTGTCAACTCGGCTCCTTGCCAGTTGCACCCCAATAGTTGGTATTTTTTGAGGGCTTTTCAAGTCCTGTGCTCGACCCTAGGGGTAGGGTTGTCTCTGCCTGTTTTCCTTCATTTTTATCAACTGAATTTGGGCATACCTCCCTATGGTTGGGTGTCTTTGAATGGGAGTAAGGCTGGGGGGCTGTTTTCTCTTTACTCCTAGTCTTACAAGAATTTCAAACAAGAGTTCTTACGAATTCTGCCCAAGGAGGTCGACCCACTGAAAGATGAGGTGTTCCACTTCGGTGGGTTGCCGAGGTTCCCTCTCTACTGACAGCAGGCTCCGGTCAGGTTTAACGGGTCAACCAACCTTCAATTGATGACCTTGGACGCTGCTGCCATTAAAGACCTAGAAGCGCTTCCTCGTCCCTTGGATTGCAAGCTCGTCTTGTCGCTTTCTAACTCGGCGTACAAGGAAAGGGGTCTAGAGAGTGAGTACCTTGTCCTCCTTAGTTGTCAGGGTTTGTAAAATTTTCTTTTACTGATGTACTTGGCTTTTGTTCTTGCAGGCATAATGGGAAGGAGCAAGTGGCGCGAGTTGAAGTCTCGCTATAACGTTGCCGAGGTCGAGGTCCCTGAGCCTCAAGAGGAGGAGATTGCCCCCTTGGAGACCCGCATAAAAAGGAAGAGGGGAGAGAAGGAGATCGGGGGACCTCTGCCCCTCGAGATGCGGAGGAGGTGACTTTGAAGGCTGCTGACGCCGACGCGGTCGACCTCACTAGGAGTCCTCCGCCTGAGGGAGTTTCCCAAGTGGTTGCTAAGGAGGTATCCCATGCTACCGAGGTTTGTGCCTTTTGTCTTGCTGTCTTTCTTTCCTATTGTGTGGTTTTCTTACTTTATAACTTAAGGAATTGTTGTGTTTTGTAGGTGGGGCCTAAGAAGACTACCGCCGAGGTCCGACTGGAAGCGAGCTCGGGAGCGCCAGGGCTGAACACCCCCACTGTTGCTCAGGCGGCCTCTGCCCCGACTCCCGCCGGGGTCTGTGGAGAGGGGTCGAGCTCTGAGCTCCCAACGCCCACCCCTACAGCCACGGCGCCGCCGTCTCATCCATCGAAGGAGGCCCCCAAGGGTAAATACATCGCTCAACGCTTCGACAAGGAGCGCCCTTTGACACGGTTGGATCACGTGAGCACGTCTTCGGATGTGGACTCATTGTGGAGTTCGGGGGTGACCGTGGAGACCTTTTACCCAAGGGGTTCGCTGCGCTCGGTTGATTAGGCAATGTTCGAGAAGGTCGGGCCAATAGAGAGTCTCGATTCTGCAGAGGTCTTCATGCAGCGGTCGCTTGCTATCGTGGACCATTGGAAGCACAGGTGGGCGAAGCTGCAGGGGGACCTCGAGAAGGCGAAGAGCCGAGTCCAGCATATGGAGGAGGAGAACAAGGCCTTAGGAGATGCTCTCGGCGAGGCCAAGAGGCAGAATGAGGCCGAGCTACAAGCCACCAGGAGGGATCTCGCCAGAACTCAGAAATCTTTGGAGATTGCTCTGAGGGCAAATGAGGTCTACGCGGCTCAGGTTGGCGAGCTTCAAGAGCTTTCCAGTTCCTCTCAAAGTCGCGCACGCTCCCTAGAGGACGAGGTCTCTACGTTGAAGGCTGACCTGACGAAAGCGACCGAGAAGTGTCTGTGTGATGAGGTGCTTCTTGGTGGGAAAGAAGAGGAGGTCGCAGCTCTAAGGGCAGACCTGGACAAGCTGGCCGTAGCTAAGGTAGAGGTGGAGAGGAGGCTTGTTGAGACTGAGCGAGCTGTCCTACTGGAGCATAAGAAGGGATTTGTCAAGGCAGCTCGTCAGGCGAGGTTGCTGGCTCCTAGGGTCGACTTCTCACCCTTGCATGTGGAGAAAGAGGTGCGCTTCGGGCGGCTGGTGAAGGAAGACGACCTCCCGTACATCTCAAGCGAGAATGCCTCTGCCTAGGTTGCTGGGTTTTGTAATAGCTTAGTTTGTTTTGTTCTTTTTTCTTTCCCTTTGGATTCATGCTTTTGAACTTGCAAACTTGTTGTGTATATATTATTTTTCGTCTAGCGCTTTTGATGGTTTTATTTTTACCTTTGGTTTTGCGCTCATGATTTAGGCTTAGTTTTTGCCCGTTTTTTGTGGTTTGAAAACACGTTTAAACTTGGCTTAGTTTAAAGTGATTGGCGCCAGGGTTCGAATTCGACCTCAGCATAGGATAGGATAATTCGCACTAAGGTTCGAACTCGACCTTGGCTTAAGATTACGCATCAGTGTTCGAACTCGACCTCAGCATAATGATAAAATAATTCGTACTAAGGTTCGAACTCGTCCTAAGGTTTAAGATAGAACAATTCATACTAAGGTTCGAACTCGACCTCGGGTAAGATAGAACAATTCATACTAAGGTTCGAACTCGACCTTAGTGTAAAGTGAAATAATGTGTGCCGACGTTCGAACTCGACCTCGGGTTAAGATTTTGTTCTTAAGGTTCGAATTCGACCTCAGGTTGAGAGTTCGTATCATGGTTCGGACTCGAC